AGCCATTCATAGGCTCATAATAGTAATCATTAAAATAGGCAAAAATTTTTTTTTTTCGATACCCTTTTACCTCTTTACTTTCTTACTTGTATCTTTTATTGTATTCCCCTTTTACCTCTGTTTTTCTTTTTTTTGTGTCTGTGTTTTCACTAATTTGGCTCTTTTGATGAAGTAATGCAGCTACTAGAGCTAAAGATCAGAGAGTTTATATCTTTAGTAAGTTGAAGATCTAATATAAAGCCAATTGCTGCTAGGTGGGTCATTTTTGAGCTTAGCTTGAGTCGATCTTTACTCATGTAAAATATAGTATAGAAATTTGTATTTTCTTGTTGATATGAGTTTTGTATTTTTCAATAAAAGAGTAGTAGGCAGAATCACCGAATAAATAAAAAAAAAAAGAAAAATTACCAATTAAATATAGTTAAAAATTTTTTAAATTAAAACTATCTTGTTATAGTTTTGTTAGCTAGCTTAGCACAACCTTTTGGTATAGACAATAGCTTTAATTAGCGAGATAGACTATATTTAAGTATCTATAGAAGAAGTCGAGTAATGTCAGATCTATAACTTAGATAGTTTAAGATATACTTGTATATTTGCTTTGATCTAATAAAGATACATGAAAAAAAATAAAACTAGTTAGTATCTTATATATTTGATATTTCAAAATTTAAAGCAATATATAAATAGATCAAATCTAAGATTGCTTATTTTTATATTAAATTATTTTAAAAATACTTAATTTAACAAAAATTTAAAAAATTTACTATATAAAATATAATATTTATTGAATTTTCTTAAAATTTCTTTTTTTAATATCTTTTAATCTATCTATAAATTGCTTAGATTCATTATATTAATAATTTTTTAATATAGTAAAATCAATAATAAATTATATAAATCTTTATTATATCAAGAAAATAATTCCTAAAAATCTAATTAACAAATATTATACAAAGTAATATATAAAAAACAACTAGTCTATTAATTTTATTGACCAATATATATCATATGATCAAATCTTTACTATAATATAACCATTTTGTAATATTTATTTTAGAAAAAATTTTCATATATCTTATATTAGCATTTATTAATTAACTTTATTATATTAAATGAAAGTTTATTAATAATAATTTGTTCTAAACAAATTCTTTACTATAAATCAATCATTACTATAAAAAATTTACTATAATAAGATAAACCTGTATCTTGAAATTTTGACTAAGCAATCTATTATATAACATAAGCAAAAATGTTTCTCTTGTAATTTTACCTTACTTTAACCCTAATTCTACTCATAGTGTAATTCTAATTTTCATTGCAGGCTCAATTTTGCTATAAGGACAAAAGTGCATGAAACACTGTTTAAAATTTTCTTTTATAGATATTTGTATAAGATATTAAAAATAATCTAATAAAAAAAGCTACTTTATATATTATTAAATATATTATTACTTTATTTATACTGTACAGCTTAATAAAATATATTATTTGATATTTTATAATTCATTTAATACTGCATTAGAAGTGACTTTGATATAACTTTTATTATGTTATATAAATATTAATTAAACTTTTTTATGCACGATGTTTTCAAAAATATATTCATCATTAGCGTGGGCGATAAGTATTTGTTATTGCATTACAATTAACGATATTGATATTGTCATTAAGTAAAAAAATTATTATAATAACTTTGTATAATTTGTGTTTATACAATAAAAATTAATTCTTAATGAAATAGCAGCCAAAAATTTTTTTCTATAGTATACAATAGTATACACATATGCAGTATATGTATTTAACTTCATTTTTACTTCAATAAAGTATAGTAATATATCGATATATCGAGTGTTTTCTTTAGCAAAAGTATCTTGCATCATATCAAGAATTTACTTGAAGTCATTTTAATATAAGGAGAATTTAATGCGTCATAGATAAATCAATTAAATGACGACAGCATGAGAAAATTATTTGACGTGAAGAAACATACGATGACGGAGAAAATATGTTCATGTGATTTAATTATTTAAAAGAATATAAACTTACATAATTCGAAGTTAAAAGTATAAAAAAAATTTGTCTTGTATAAACTATTATAAAGTTATAGATCATATAAAATGACGTTTACAAGTTACAATCATTAATATGATTGAAAATAGGCAAAAGATCAAAAGAAAAAAAATTAAATTAAAAAATACTTCTTTTAGAAAACTTGAATAACTAGAGAAATTTAAACTCCGTGGTATTTTTAATATGGTTAGAATTTTTATGAACAGATCAATGAATGACGGTATAAACTTGTAAACTTGCGATATTGTACATTGCTATAAACTTCATTTACTCTTTTTTTTTTTTTTGTTTCGTTTTAATAAAATTTAAATAAAATATACTAGTCATTTGTTGTCATACTTTAGTATAATAACTTATTATCAGAAGTAATCTCTTATAAATAGGCACAGATTTTTTTATCAGTTTTTAACTCGCGTTTATTTTTTTTACTATTCATAATTGATAATTGACGCGTTGTGTTGATCCTTTTTTATTCGAGTTAAAAGTAGTCTATTCGTGTTTTTTATCCGTTTTTTCATTGTGCAACATTTCTTTCCCTAAAAAAAAAAAAGGGAAAAAAAAATGGAAACCTTTCATGGTAAAGTATATTTAAAGTATAAAGTTTTTTTTTGATTTACTGATGAGGAGTCCGTTTATGCCAAAGAAAGTTTAAAGGAGTGGCTTTGTGACTCTCACGAAAAAAAAAAAACGATAAATAGGATTGATCGAGAATACTAAAGACGCCTTCATCATATTCGGTATGTCTTGTTATATTTGACGTATTTTTTTATGATGCTTTATAATTATTGTGATTCTTGTGATTCTTGTGATTCTTGTGATTCTTGCGGCGATTTTTAAATATATTTTTTTATTATTAAATGTTTATAGAAGCATGCCGACTCGGAATATTGCAAAAAACATCTAGACGTCCTTTGGAAGAAGAAAGGCAATCTCTCGTACCTGGATCGGTGTAAGAATGATATACCTTTTAATTTTACTTTATCTGGTTTATTATCGAAAAAAAAATAAATAAATAAATCTTTTTTTTTTTTTTTTAAAGATTCGTGTATGACGAAAATGAAGCCGGAATTAAACGTTGGACCGACGGAAAGTAAGTCAAAGAATAGATATAATAGATATGATTAATAAATATAATTTATATATTTTTAATCTATATATCTTGTCATGTCGTAGATTATGGTCTCCAAGTAGGATTTATGGAGACTTTTTGCTTTATCAAGAACTGGAGTCGCGCCTTAACCACATAAAGAAATACGAAGATCTTGATGAAAGTATTAGGGAGAGTATTCAAAAAGAAAATAAAAAGTTTCACGTGTCCAACAAAGGCACATTTGTGTATAGTAATGAAGGTTTGGTGAAGAAAACCATTTCAGCAAATGTTGATGGCAGTATTCAACATATGATCATATATGAAGATAAGCAAGGTCATTCTCTTATTCTCTTTTTTATAATATATATATTTTTTTATACGTTACGTTTACCTAAGAAATAGTTATTTTGATGCACGCAACAGGTCATCACGATGAACTATATCCACCTCAGGCTTATGTTGAATTATCAAATCTTATGCCAAGTCCAGCAATTACGAAAAGCGGAGCTTTACGCAGGGCATCTTCATCATCCAAAACCGGTAATTCCAAATATTCATTGTCAAAAATCCAAGTAAGTATAAAACAAAATAATGAAAAAAAATTACCAAAAGATTAGAAATAATAACCAATTTAAGGATAACCCATTTAAGGATAACCAATTCAAGGACAACCAATTTAGAGATAACCAATTTAGAGACAACCAATTTAAAGAAGAACAATTTAAAGAAGAATTTAAAGAGGTAAAAGGGTATCGAAAAAAAAAAATTTTTGCCTATTTTAATGATTACTATTATGAGCCTATGAATGGCT